AGCGCCCCTCCCTTACAATTTTTTGCCGCGAAACCGGTACAAGGTTGTTTGTCGCGGACCACACTACCCTCCCGACGCCATATTTTCAACTTCTATACCAGTCGCGGACCATGCCTTTAACGTGTCCCGTCATCCGCAGCAAACAAGACTGCAGATAGAGTCATCTATTTGGCCAGAAATTAAGGCCTTTCCACCTGCCCCAGGAGACTAAGGACCTACCGATTACGCGGAGCATCAAATCTCCCCTGTTGTCGGTCAGGCAGGGACGACGTGAAAATTAGGTTCCATTTTTATCAGGCAGCAATCAAACAACATGCTGTATCCTCCCAATGTACCCTACCGGTAGATACGGCTGCATGTATGTACTCATATATCCATGCAGCACCGCGGCCGCTTCATATCAATCCCTTCGCTTCATATTTTACTTAGCAAATGAAGCAATACGAGCATCAGGTACGGTCGTCCATTTGTGGGCGGGCGGGCGCGGTGGGCGTTGGGTCGGTATGTTGCAGCTTGATAGGGCTTTATAGCGTACCTCCTTGGAAAAGGCACTACACAGCGCCTGCTCAGGGGCGCAGAATTCCGTCCTGCCAGACGTATTAATCCTACTCGCTCTTGGGGATTTGTCGTGCCAACTGCCTTTAAGAGAGCATAAGTGCCTGGATTTTGATGTCTTTTCCCTAAACCCCACTTCAAAAAACGTTCACAGTGATGTCCGCTTCAGCGCTCCCTAAGCTTCCTTGCTGTGAAGTGTTCACATCAAAAGCGCTAAGAAAAGCAGTTCAGACGAAACGGTTGAAATCTTTATTGCAGGTTACGGTATGATGCAAAGTTCAGAAGTTCAAAAGTTATATAAAGCGTTCAAAGGAACTCTTTTCCTGTAAAAGAGTTCACATTTTCATGTTCTTGCTCCTGGCTTCATGCCTTTGTTGTTGTATCCGAATTCTCCAAAGGGTGGGCGTCTGCCACCTACTCCATTACCTCCGTTAGCTCCGTGGTGGCGCTCCTCAGAAGAGCCCTTACTTCGGGAATCATATCTTTTCGGATATCGTCCGGGAAAGAAGCCTCCGGTCCACTGTCCGTATCCGGATGGAGCTCCTTCTGGATACTGACCAAATCCGAAGGGAAGTTCATACGGATACGGGCTGTTACCGAAGGAAGGGCGTCTGTTCGATCCATAACTGTCCTCGTCAGATGAATCGTGCTTGCCCATTTGATTGTTTCCTCCTCCATGGGAACCTCGGAAACCGCGTGCTTGCCGGTACCACTCATTGCTTCTGCTATCCTGAAATGAGTAGGAATTAGTTGTATAAGAAGTACTGACACTATATTTCTGTATTTGAATGCCAAAATGTTTACAAAATTTACATTCTATACAACCTCTCTTTTTGATACTTGCTTTGTCAAAACTGGTTCTCGGGGTGACTCCCTGAACATGGATATCGTGCAGGGTTGGGGCCGAAACGTCTGAGCCTCTCCTTGAAGGCCCCAGCACAAAAAACCAGCGCTCAAAGGTCAGCCTGATTCTTTGATAGATACAGTCTTGTTCGCGATGTATGTAGTGTCGGGGAGACTGGGCTTGTCGCGGCGCCAGCCCGCTTCCCACGGACTCTGCTCTCATGTCAGCTTTCAAAATTGGTGGAGAACAGGCCAGCGCTACACCAGCCCCAGCTCCCCCCCCCCCTCGATCGCCCCATCCGTATGAAACAAGACTATAAGGCTGGCGTTTATACTTTGGCGGCAGCGTAGGCCGCTGCAAACGCTAGCAAAACGCTGGTGAAACGCTGGAGAAACGCTAGCGTACGCCAGCGTGCCGCTGGTGACGCTGGTGAAGCTAGATCGATATGCATCCTCTCCTCGGCACTGCCGCTGGCGTACGCTGGAAGCGCTACGCTACGTCTGCGCAAAGTATAGAACGCAGCCTAAAAACGCAGGCCTAACCTATCATTTATAACGGCTTATACTGTTTCAATTAGCGACAGTGGTATTGTAAAGCAGTTTCGTATTCTGGGCCTGGAGCAAGTCCACCAGGGTCCCCAGGCGTGGGTCCTATAGAAGAGCGTCAAACATCGGCTAAGAGATGAAGGCTCCAGCTCACGCCCGTCTCTTTTACGGCGGCTGATCTCTTACTTCACAGCGCTCCAAACTGATAGCTCTTCCACGCTGATCGTATGCCACCGGTTACAGGCCCCATTTCTGCGCCACCCTCCACGATAATCTTTTCATAATCTTCGTAAAATTAGTGGAATTGCACCAATGAGGGAAGCACAACCATGGGTTGACTCCTCCCATATGAACAGCGTGAATTTCTTCTGAAGCAAAAAGCACATTTTTCCATTTTTCGCTCCATCTCTAAGAGGCTGAATGAGTTTTTCGATGAAATTTCTGTAATGGAACATACCTCTCTGCGAGAGGCCGCTACGGTGATTGCAATTGCAAGGAATAAATAGAAACAGAACATCCTGAAACACCTTAACTTCCATTAGGATCAGTTTTATGTCAGTCGAAGAGGCAAGGTAGTAAGTTAACCAAATGCCAGCGTCATTAAGCTAGGGCGAAAGAGGAGGGGGAAGGTACTAGTTTTGGGGCCCTAAAATTCTTATAAAATGCAATTTTCATAATATTTAGTAGTATGGGCGAAATTGAGTTACTAATGTGTCTTCAAGAGAAAGACTGCGTCAGGAAGGCGCAATGGGATGCCTGACTCCGCCATAGGGTCAGCCTAGACTGTGCCTCTAGGGAGTTCCCCAGATGCCCATATAAAGAACTAGACCTTTTTCCAGTATCATCAGATAGCGGATGGCGATCATCAAGGGCTTCTCAAAAGGATCAGAAGCTTTTCAAAGGGATGAGATTGACTCGATATGAAATTTCCCAGTTTCTGAAAGCCTGAAGAAAACAAAGATGGAGTCGGAATGGTTGGATGCCTGATCGAGCTTGAGTTTATATACCTGAACAACTAAATGGAAATGATTTTTTTATTATTTGTCAGAAGTAATGCCCGAGACCAACACCAGTGTTCAGCATCATGAATTAGCATAAGTATTGTCGGATCAAGCCGTCAGTTTGGCACGTCGAAGCCTCAGAGTTCCAGTTTTCCATCGCCAATGGCCCTGATAATACTGGCATAAAGGCATAAGGCACGATAAGTCCGCAAGGCGTGTGGGATTAATATGACCAACAGAACAGAACTCGGCGCTCCTGAGCAGGCGCTGCGTGGCGCCTTTTCCAAGAAAGGTGCCTTTATGAGGCCCTACCAAGCTACAACATACCGACCCGAACGCCCACCGCGCCCGCCCGCCAACAAAT